TAACAAACGAGAGCAAAACGACACTACAAAGCAATTAACGCCTACAACAGCAAATATTTACAGAACATATATGCACATATAATAGTGTAGAAATAAAAAAGCAAAACATTGTAATTAGCAATTCAAATCGGTACTGTTCAATAAATCAAATCATCAAGCAAGTGTAATGAAAAAAGACGGGGAAAAAATAAAAACAAAATAAATAAGCGAAGAAAGCATTCATTTCTGGCTATGTGTAATCCACTTATTTGCAAAATGCTCAAACTGGGGATTCCGTTTAAACGACAGACACGAAAAACTGTGTTAAATAATTAAACAACAACAACCAAAATAACATTACTAATAGTTCTGTGAAATTACTCAATCGAAATAGTGACGTGTTTCCATACCAACACCGCGTAGTGCTGCCATATTTTCACGCTTGTCACCTGAAGTATGCACATGGTTARTGAACAACAGTTATATTTATTTGTTTAGACGCTTGTGCAAATAGTGGCGCACAGATGCCTACCACATTGCCGCATTATCTAAAGATAGATGCGCTGACAAACATCGCACAGTGTTGAGAGGTGAGGTGTTATGCGGTGAGATGAGCACAACAGCACAACAACACAATAGCTCATGCAACAATACGCTTGGCATTAGTCAGTTGGAGGGGTAATGCAAAGGCCTGTCAGCCTAGCTGATGAGTTGGACTGGCTAGACTGAGAATCAGCTGTGCAAATGCCGGCAATGAAAGCCACAAAGTTGAGASTKGACAATGCAAYTTTACTTTTTTTGTTGTAATKTTTTTTGTTTTTGTTGTCGTACGAATTCATTGTTATAATATTGTTGTTGCTGTAACTGTTTTTGTGCATATCTACTAATCTACTACCAACTAGTTAGCATTTTGCCGCTGTTGACATCTCTTGGCCGCACAGCGCTCCGCTTAGCTTAGCTGCACACCGTCGCTTGACATATTGCCGCGTCCCGCTGTTTCCTCGTAATGACAAATGTTCACTGTCTTTATTAAAGAGATAATTGTAAGTGGCTGGTATCTCATATTGTTTACAATCAATTTCAATTTTTTTCGCTCGCAAATTGGTCTGAGATGTATTTGCAGACAGCTGTTTACGCACTCGTTAGCTGCTGTGGATGTAAGCAAATTAAAGTGTTGACAACAATTACAATCAATTCAAGTGCATATTACAATTTTTTGTTGTTTTTGCCACAAGTTAGCTGCTGGAAAGCATTTGAATTCGTTAGTAATTATTTAGTAGTGTCTCATAGCAATTATTGCTTAGTGTACACTGTGTGACTAGTGTCAAGTTTGTTGCTTAAGTCTTTTATAATTCATGGCAAATGAAGAAGGAAAGAAAGTAGACGCTTACTATTAAATATACACATATATTTATATTTTATAATAATTTATTGTACATGTAAATATAATAATTTGTCTCTCTGTGACTTTTAATTTCCGATTGCGGCTTGCGGCTTAAGCCTTTTTTATTTAATAATTGGTAGTGTAAATTCTTTAGAAATAAATATATTTTCTTCACGCATAAATGGAACGAACCCAGAACCCTGTCACACACGTAAGACTCAATTTGAAAATAATTGTGTACTTATTAGATTTCAACATAATATTTTATATGACACTTGTGAAACGGAACTTACCCAATGAARTTGTTTGCTGAGTTGTATTTAGGAGATGTACTTTAAATAGATTTATTTAATATTTTATAAATGCAGGTATTATTTCAAATTATGACATTGTCAACTGTCAAATAAACGACTGACAACGTCACATGTTCTGTTTATACTCTCTCAATATGCCGAATAGGCTTATGACACCTAATAATAATATATTTATAAAACGAARTTCATTATTTTAGCAATAAATTGAATGTTTTATATAGTATAGTTAGAATGATCCGGCTTAGGTCAAATATCCCCCGTTTTGATCGATAACTTGTTGCCGTTTCTAAAGTACTATAATGTCGCCCTCACAGAAACTCTTCTTCTTATTGCCAAAAAACTTGGGATAACCGATTTTCACAAGGTTCTCTTAAGTTAAATTATTTACAGGCAAATCATTCGTCATAGACATATAGGTAAGTAGTTACTTGCTGTCAGGTTCGGACTATAGGGTGGATACATTACAACCCTTCAATCAAACTCTGGGCTATTGGGGAGTTCCTAACGATATGTGTGGCCTATTATTTTCTCCACTATTCGCCAAAGATTTCTTTAGACTTTAGACATTTCTTGACCTTGCAAGACCGAAATAAAAGTTTGATTGTAAAGTTGATTCCTTGACAATCCAAATACTTGTTCTGAATGCTTCTCAGTTCACACTTGGAGAAGGACGGGGTGAAGTCGCTTAAGAAGGCACAATGAGCTTTTTCACAAATAAACAGAAGACTGGAAGGAGAGTCCTCTATAGAGAGAACTTTATTTCTAGGCTACCGAACTATTGAAGTATTTTCAGGCCAAAGTGGCTACGACTATTAAGGTAGCAATACAAAGCTTCTCTCAGGAAGGTGAGCAATCACTGCCACAACAGAGCAGCAATACTCGGCTCTCAAAACGTGCACTCAAAGTTAGTCAATGAGTGTWGGTCCTTACTATCAATAGCACCTGGCCGCAGCGGAATCATTAGAAAATGCAAAGCCGATGAGCTAATAAGTGGGGCACCCTTGTTCCACTTACAACGAATTACGTACGAATAGGAACCTCCTTTATTCTCTTCCATTCTAACACTTTTGCGTGAGCTCAACTGACCAGCATTTACGCATTTACGCGACTGCGAGCTCCTTTTGACTGTTGTTGAGATCCTTCAGGCCTAGATTGAACTACTTGCCCTTAGCAWAGWSCATCTTGCAACAATTGYAGGAGTAAWTACTGYGAAGTKGAATACTGGTYAATAGGCATTCATAYCATAAGCTTACTAACCCTATCGGAAGCAAATTGTTAAAGGATTTTCTAGAAATTCTAGGTAAAATTGTTGTAATTTAGTAAATATTATAATCTTATATGAAYGAACATGATGGGTATATGAAAAGTGCCATYTATGATTGTCAAGCAAAATATATACTATCTGTCAATATTAYACAAACACACTCACTCTGCAAAAAATATCCAAGGTGTGAAGCAATAAAGAACAACACGTGTGCTCTAATAAAAAATAAAGATAAGAAGAAATTAAATTGTATTTTATTATATATAAAAATCACCATTTCAACAAAAACAACGGATCGGCGTTATAAGCTGCCCAAGTGAGATCGCTGTTAGATTTTGTTGCGGCTCAGCAACGATTTGTAAAAGGAAATTTGAGTATTTTTTTTGGAAGAGGAGGAATAAGCTAAAAAGGGGAAGTCAGAGTCAGAGGAACACGACGACATGGGTTTCAGCCTCTTTGACTTGAGCTCTTTGACTAAACAATCAAGCTTGGCATCTACCAAAAAATATAGCACGCTTTCATGCCGATTTATTTAAATTTACGCAGTCAGGTCTGCAAGTCCTCTCATTGAAYTCACTGCGTTTCTGGTAATAACGCTGCCAAATTCCTTTCATTTCACATTTAAATCTCATCTACTGCCATTCATCAAAAGCATCTCTTCGATTATTCAGAAAGTCCACTTTTGGRTACAGGGTAATGTCCGTAATGCCCATATCCACGCCTGAATTTCTTTCGCGTTTCGCTGAACACAAAAGATATATGTGTGTATATGATTCTAACATCTCTACTTAAGTAAGAGAAATTCTATTTTCCCATTAAGTAAAACGAGTTCATATAGTCTTACTACAATTCAGTAATTCAAATACGGTGCGTTTATAATAATTCTGAATTTACAAATTATTACAGGGGATTTGGTTGGTTGGTTGTTTATAATTCCTCATTATCGTTGGTCAGCGCTGAAGCCTACTTTTGGTTGATACCTCCCCCCAACGTTTAGTAAAAATGTTTTTTTTTTTACATTAGGGGTGGAAAATAACCCACAAAATTATAGAATTTTTAGTGGAAAATAACTTTAAATGGCCGCCAAAAATGTTTAAATGAAAAACAATATTAAGAGAGAACTTTGGGTGGAAGATTTGATTAAAATTTGGCTGATSTTGACTTGGGTTTTTATTTTGGGATATTTCCAACCGAATTATGATGAACACCGCAAATTGTTTTTTTTCCAAGACATTCTGGGAAAGCTCTGTTATCGTCTTCAGCTTCAATATTTCTGCCTAAAAAAATTACCCTAAGAAACGCTGTAAAAAGTGGTCGAAAATTGAGACTCTCGGCTGGAACTTAGTCAGCCGCAGCGGTCACTTGCCCGAACTTCTTTTCAAAACATAGTGACCTTAATGTTGCCACTTGGGCATAAATTGAAATGAACAAAAACAATTCTTAAAATTCGCAATAAACTAAGAGCCCTAACTGCATTAAAGAGCATTTTACAAAGAGCGAGAAAACGCAAAACTATACACTCACAAACACAAGCAAAAAACACAAAGCTTGAAGCATGCAGTCGACCAACAGTCGAAGGCAGCAAATCGAAATTGAAATCAAAATCGAACCGTTGAAAATCACTTTTGCTTTCAGTATGGCGTCTCCATGCTTGTTGTTGTTGTTGTATACGCTTGTAGCCTTTTTTCAATGTGAGCATTACGTGCGCTTGGCTTTGTGATTGTTTATTTGCAGAGATTGCTTTTTTATTGTTGTTATCGCATTGTTATGCGATTGGCTTGCGGGCAAAACGAGAGCGCGCTGGTGGCGAGCGTGCTGCTACGTGAGCGTGTGAGTGTCGCGCGCRCGCGCATGGAAATCGCTTTTCAGCTGAGCTGGAGCTTTACCTAGACTTTAATGTGGAGAGTATTACGCGCCTTCTTGTTCAGCTCGGTTAAATATTTTCCTCCTCACTGTTAAGTGTTGTGTATAAATATATTTATATTTCTTACAAGTATGCTTGTTCGTTTCATTACAGTTTTCTTGCAACGCCAATTGCTGTCGCTCGTGTGCGCCTTGAAGTTTTAACGGGTTAACACAGTGGTGTCAGTCGCTTGCGATTACTCGCCGTGAACGGTCGGTCATTCGCTCGGTGCTAAACATAAGCAGTCGCCTCCACACAAACGATTCGGCATTGATTGATTTGCGTGCAGCTTAAAAATAAATTAACGAAAAATTAATTTCAAAACAACAACAAAAATAATATTCAAACACAATTTTTATTTCGCTGGAGCGCGTTTGTTTGTGCATATTTTTCCGTACTTTGCATAGCTTTGCTGTTCGAGGGCGCGCGAATTTTCGAATTTTGAGCGAGCGTGTGTGTGCTTAGTATTTATGTTATGTCGCGAATTGATTGTTTGTTGAAATAATTAGAATTTCTGTGTTCATGTGCGAATTGCCGAGAATACTGACTGCTTGGTCAATTTAATTGCGTATGTGAGMGAATGCAATAAAAAAGCAAATGATCAAAGTCAGTGGTGTATAAATGGAAATCAATGCTAAGATTTACAAAAAAC